ATGTGGTTGTGTAGCCCCGCCTGATGGACACAATACTGGTAGGGCTTAGGTTTGTGGTTTAGGACAACTATTTCTTAACCACTCAAAGTGCAACCGCGCATTCCCTATGGTTTTTCTTTTGCATACAACTACTTGACTATATCGCCTGTGCGTTCCCCGGTCCTACCTGTAAAATCCCTCTTACCGCCGATCCCGTATTAGAGGTGGATGGAGATTGTTTATCTCAGGTGCGGCTACATAACCACATCTGACCGGAGTCGAAATTGAATGCAAGTGGGATTAAACCATCCCCTGTCACGTGGTCAGTACAAAAGACCAACTGCGAAGTCAAATACGTGAAATGAGTCGTTTCTAGGATTTGATACGCTTGGAGGTAGCTCGACCAAATCGGGTGGAGGTGAAGGCTGGAGGGAGTAGGCTACTCCACGCGCAGTCTGCCAAACGCACATAGACAGTGAGGGGTAATACCGCCAATTAACAAATCGCGAAACAACCGACGCGGCCAGACCGCGCCTTCAAATTCACCGGAGTCCAACTCCACGCAACCACCGTTAACCATGCAAGTCGCCAGATGCTTTGGCTGTGATCTATCAACTAGAAATCAGTCACTTAGTCCCTGCAACATTGTAAGTAATTTAAGGGAAGACCTGTGGATGAAAAATATTCCCTAGGGGGGGGGGAGGGGGTGGGGATGGTACAGAGGAACAAGATTGCCAAGTCATTATTAGGCCAGCTCACAGCATCGTCAGCAAAAACTGGTATAGTGTCCAACGGAAGAAACTTGTTCAAGGTTGTAGATAGTTTCCTCCTCTTCACAACTTGAGAATTACTCTGAGAGTCTAAACATGAAGTACTCACCATCATACACGCAATCTCAAACGTGTCTAACTTGGGAAGCCCCTGGGGACATAATATATATAGTTTTGTTTTGTCTTGCTTAATTTGAAGTAAATCCCTCGGAAGAGACCTTTTCAGGCACGGTCCGAAATTTGGTATGAATATTTGAACTGAAATTCGTCAACTACTGTGGAATAACCGTGCAATACTCACAAACCGCCAACAGGCAGTCAGTAGTATATAATTGTGTAATCATTTTACCGTACTAACAACACAAGTATTAGCTGAAAGCCAAGACACGCGTGTTTCGCCGATCTTGTACCGCTGCCCGACGCAGCTGCGAGGGGTTCGGCTCATAAGAAAACACACGGGGAAGCTGGGGGACCCACTGATGAGCCGAACCCCTCACAGCTGCGTCAGCCAGGGGCACAAGATCGGCGAAACACGCGTGTCTGGGCGTTTAGTTAGTACCTGTGTTGTCAATACGGTAAAATGATTACAAAATTATATCGTAGTTTTGATATGCACCCGCAGAAGACAAACGAGATACGCGTCACGGATTTGAGTGAAAATGCTATTGCTATTGTCATGGCAACCTCTCCCCCTAAAAGCACCCTCTAGTTCGCGATCGCAATTGTAAAGTGTAGTCGGCAGTTGCCGCCGAAACTATTGCTTCATCACCACCATCGTCATCCTCACAGCAAAACTCTTGAATCTCTGGGTTCGGGGTTCGGCTCATCAGTGGGTCCCCCCTCGCAGCTGCGTCTCCAAGATCGGCGAAACACACCTGTACCTGTGTTGCCAGCACGGTAAATAATTCCACAATTATAGAGTTTTGTGTCATGAATGTTTATTGCAATTAAGTATGTAAACGTATGTAAATGGTGGCAGAAAAGTAACTAGTTATTCTAGGTAAGAACGGCGCGGATCGTATGTACCGATAAAGTAGAGCATGGTTGGCCACAGAAATATGGAATGTGATAAAAGGACGGATAATAAAGATAACGCCAAAACGAGCATAGAATGAAACACAGACTAGACTTATCGAGTTAGCAGGTCTGTGAATTTGGTCAGATCCATGTGCATCACTCGGCCCCGCGTTCTCTACAAAGAGTCGTCACTCCTCGGTTAAAACAAGAACGGCCCTACTGTTCTACTTGTCCTTTACACCCGTGAACAACCGCGATCGTTAAACCTGAGCTGGGGTTTTAAATTAGTGGACTAGGACGTGGCAAAATAATTAAATCAAATGAGTAGTACGATCAACTGTGCAAGCTCTTTTTCTCTCCCTCTGAATGAAACCGACAAGCAGGTGAACAAAATTTCTGTTGCAGCGGTGGAATCACCTTCTTATCGGGGTGGTCTTCACTTTATAAGGTAGCTAGGCCTTTCGCCATCGTGAGCGGGTCGCCAACCTAGTTCCCAATAAATGTTGACAGAGAGAGGAGGGAGGGTGAGAGAGTTCTGCCACGTCGGCACTTGGATATTCTCAAGGGCGCGCAGGGTGGAGAGGGGGGCGAGGGCGAGGGTAATCAGTCCAGAAGCAGGTGGCCAGACAGCCAGGTGGTTTCAGTCACGTGAGCGGGTGGGGGAGGGGGACGCCGAACGGATACCGTATCGCTGCCCCGAGCTGGAATGTTCACAGGCCCTGACGATAGCGAGTTGTCGTGCCGGTCATGCGACAGGCTGGTGCTCTAGGCGTGAATTCGATCAACGGGACCGACCCTGGGGTGGGATACCTGCGTCCGTTGGGTTTCCGCTGTTTGTCTCCAAGCGAGGCCATCTACACAAACTTTGCGGATCCCGCTCCTGTGATAAGAAACACGAAGCTAAGCGATGCTCTTTCGATAGATAAAACAAGAGCCTCGTTCACCCGAAGTTTTAGATTCGAACTCGAAGGACGAAAAATGTAGATCCCCTGCCTGTACCGACCCGAAACGATAGGCGAATAAAACCCACTTCCAAAGAAACAGGTTTTCTACCTCTTCTCCTCGACAATGCGGCACACAGACCTCTGAAAGTTTGCTCCCTGAGGTAAATGTAGCTTAACTAAATAGAGAGTGCTGTATCCATTCGTGGCTATTTATGGTGGATGGTATGGGATAGTATGCAATTGACAAGCATATCATCGCTAAGCTGTAGTTATGTAGCCGCACCTGATGGACACAATACCGTTGACCTACTTAATTATTTTGAGTTGGTGGGATTACGTTGGCATGGTGTTGCCGTGCGTTGCGGTGTGTGTTCTGCTGGCGGCCTTGTTTCTTTGTCGCCGTGTCTACCTTTTTCGATCCAATGCCGGTGGTCCTTCCTGATTTTCGACCTGTCGTCTCCTTCTAACTTTCGCGTTAGATGTTTCAGGGTTTAGGGCTGCGGTTAAGGGTTAAAGGGCTGAGGTGAGGGTTGGGATTATGGTTAGGGCAGCTACTTCTCAACCACTCGAAGTACAACTGCGCATTACTAATAGTTTTTGTTTTGCGTAAAATTACTTGACCTCGTCGCCTGTGCGTTTCCCGGCCCTACCTGTAAAAACCCCTATCGCCACCGGTCCCGTATTACAGGTGGCTGGGGTTTGTTTACCTCAGATGCGGCTACATAACCACATCTGGCCCCCAAAAGTGCCTTTGATTGGAAAAGATTACTTAACAGGGTCACAAGACCAACTATCCTGCAGCACAATGGCGAGATATTTCAGTTACATCAGGATGTCGACTTTTGAAGAGCTTCTCTCCGACTACTTAAGTGGCATGAAATTTTTGACGTTCGGAAAATATTTCCATGCTTTCCGTAATGTACGTTAAAATGCATAAGGACATGCAGGCCTGCCTGGATTGGCCAGTTTCTCGACAAGGGTCTAGTAAATCTCCCGCAGCACCTGCCGCACACTAGACTGGTTCCACTGCGCATCTCGAGGCTCAAAAGACACTGCCGTATGCCGGTTCAGCGAAATCCAGATTGTGCGGCACCACGGAGGACAGGAGCGACTGTCCAGCTGGCGTTCCCTTTCTCCCCATCATTTGAACAAATGCACCATTCTGCGCCTCGGAAATCAGACCCCTAGTACGCGGCAATACCATCTGAACGGAATGCCACTCGGAGAAGCAGAAACTCAGAAAGATCTCGGATCTTGGGTTGCAAACAGCCTAAAGCCTTCTACACAATGCTGTAAGGCCGCAACCACAATGCTATATGCCATCAAGCGGGCATTCGTAGTTTTCGATGAAGACTGCTTCAGCAAAGTCTTCGGCACGTTTATACGGCCCCATTTCGAATATGCGATTCAGTCCTGGAGACCGTGGACGCATCAGGATTACGATCTGCTCGACAGGGTGCAGAGACGAGCAACAAAATTAATAAGAGGTCAAAGTGCACTGCCATACGAGATCCGCTTAACTAACCTTAATCTCTATCCTCTAAGTTATAGGCAGTTGCGCGGAGACATGATACAAACTTTCCGTATCGTGCGCGGCTTGGATTGTGCCCTTCGGCGCGATGACTTTTTCCAACTCGCCACTACAACTCACCTCCGGGGACATCCCTTCAAGCTGCGTGTGCCACAGGGTAGACTGAATGTGAGAAAATATTTCTTCTCCAACCGTGTCGTGGAACCGTGGAATA